AGAAAACACAAAATTACTTACGCTACTGGAGTATAAGAGCGGCAAGGGGAGCAGAAGGAGCGGGATCAGGATCACCAGCAGCAGGTTTCTGGCTCGGAGGAGCTCCCTGACCACAGTCATCCTGCCACACCTGCAGCTTCTCCTCTTCTAGTCCCTGGCCCTGGTCTCCTCCGTTGGGCTTCTTCAGCCCTTGGGCAGCTGTTGCCTTCTGCAACCTCCTGGGTTCTTTGTTACTCTTGTTTGTTCTTCTTGTAAGGAAATGCTGTTGAGGGTTTCCAAGTTCCTGCGCCTTTATGTGGGGCTGACTAATGCATCCGCCTGACCATCCCACCACGAGCACCTGAGGAGCATAGTGCTCTTTTCATGAGTTGTCACCAAAAAAATCACGAGGCTGCTCCCTTGGTGCCGGTCTCTCTTCCATCTTCCATCATTGTTTCCTTTTTATAAGTCACACATGCAGGAACCCGAATGTAACATTCATTTTAGGTCTGCCCCACGACCTCAACTGTCTTCCTGCCCCTTTCCCACTTTCAGGTATGGCCCCGTTCGTTCCAACCGAGAACAAACTAAACCCCTGGAGAAAATGTTCAGCTTTTATGAAGTTTTATTTTCCTTCCTTTGATGCTTTCTTGCATTCCTGGCTGTATTTTTCTTCCCCTTAACTGCTTAGAGATTATCTCTCCCCTACTTATTTTTCTCCCTTCTCTGCTGGGAAATCCACAGAGCAGCAATTCTTGCAAAGATTACCTTGCACTCAAAATAAAAACTTCCGAGCAAGTCTCGGCCTACTACAGTTCACCAATGAGAAGGAGGGAAGGTGGTAGAGACTCCACCCAGTCTCCTAAAGACAACAAAACCAATGTTAATCTACAAGAAGAGCTATTCCTTCTCCCCCACTCCTGGTTGCTGTGATTGTTTCGAGGCCAAATAGTTCCGGTGACATGAATCTTAATCAGCAATAGGAAAAGCTCAAGTTTTCACATTCTTCTCAGTTGCTTCAAGAAAGTTTGTTTCTTGCATATTAAGTTTAGTTGGGACCAGTAGCACAGACCTGCACAGATTGTGAACCACAAAGCTCTGTGTAGACCTAGGGTGGTCAACTCTGGGTTGGGAAATTCCTGGAGATTTGAGAGTGGATCCTGGGGATGGATGGCTGAGGGTGGGGCTTGGGAAGGGGCGGGACCTAATACCATAGAGTCCACCTGTAATGTATCGGAATCCTCACTTGAATCGGCCCATTTACATTCAATGTTAAGCTTCAAGCCATGAAATGATTACATGAATCACCTCATAGGACTCCCGTGTTAAGCTTCGAGCCAGACCAGGGCTCCTCTGAGCGAACTTCCTATTGGTCGCTTCGTAACAGCGACCAATCAGAACGATACCATTCCCTAGGAGGGAAAGACTCCCATTGGTCTTTATCCTAGCAATCTCATTGGTTGTTAAATGTAAATAGGCGTGGCTACATTAGCCCGGTTATGTTTAAAAGGAGCATAAGCTCCCACTGTTTTCTGTTCTGGTTTCTTACTGAGTTGAGTGCTTGTTCGTTACTTCCAATAAAGCTGAATCACTTGCTGAATCACTCTAAGAGTCCTTTGTTAGTACGATCTAACAATTGGCGACGAAGGTGGGATGTTAGAGCAGGTAGGCAGCCCTGCGGACATCCACACTTCGGACTCGGAAGAAAGCGGGCAAAGCATGTGGCGGGAAGCACCAGCGCGGCTCCTGTTGGGCTCGTGATGTCGACTGCAGAGCGTGTGGGCGGCGTGGTCATCTGGCCAGAGTCTGCAGATCAGCGAAGAAGGATCCCTCAACTAACAACCGGTCAGCGCAGAGGGGCACTCCAGTCAGCACCCAAGGCAAGACCCGTTCCTCAGCATCGGAAGCAAGCTGCCAGTTGACGGCGACCTTGTCGAGCGCATCGGCCGTAAATCGCACCAGCAGCCAGGGCAAGATCACCGTGACTCCACTCCTCGACGGCCGACCCTGTACAATGGAGGTGGACTCAGGATCGTCCGTGACGGTGATTTCTGCCGCGTCCTGGCGCCAGTTGTTCCCGAACCGAAGCCGGCGGCGGCTCCAGCCTGCGGGAACCAGAGTGTCCGACTTCCAGGGCAACCGAATTCCCTTGGCCGGACGGGACTCTGTTACTGTTGAGTATAAGGGGAAATGTGTTAAACTGTCATTCCTGATTGCAGAGGGAGACCGGGTTAACCTGCTAGGGTTAGATTGGTTTGAGCCATTGGGCATCGGTATTTCTGGGATTAACAGGATGTCTGAAAATAAATGGGGCATGCTGTACGACCTGTTCCCTGATGTATTTGCCGAAGGGTTGGGAAGGTACAAGGGCCCCCCGGTTGCGTTTGACTTAGATCCGTCAGTCAAACCTATTAGGTTGAAGTATCGGAAAGTACCTGTGTCTCTCAAACATAAGGTGGAAAAAGAGATTGACAAACTAGTTGAGCAAGGGGTTTTAGAGCCAGTACCATACAGCAAATGGGAGACCCCGATCGTAACCCCTGTCAAATCAGATGGGTCCATACGACTATGCGCCGATTACAAATGTACGATTAACAAGGCGCTGCAGCAACATTCGTACCCGGTCCCGGTAATAAGCCACATTTTGGCTTCCCTGGGGGGTGGCAAGATTTTCGCCAAATTTGACCTGGCCCAGGCATACCAGCAGTTGCCTGTCACCCCGGAGGCTGCCGAGGCCCAAACAATTGTAACCCACCAAGGGGCTTTTAAAGTGAACAGGCTGCAATTCGGGGTCAACGTAGCACCTGGGATTTTTCAGGGCCTCATGGAACGTCTACTAAGGGGGGTACCTGGCACAGTGCCCTATTTTGACGACGTGCTGATTGCGGGCGGGTCTGAACAGGAACTACTGGACCGGGTTAAAGAGGTCCTCAGGCGTTTTCAAAATGCCGGTCTCAGAGTTAAGCGCTCAAAATGCACGCTCGGGGTGGAAAGTGTGGACTTCCTGGGGTTTCGCATTGACGCAGAGGGAGTCCACCCCACGGATGAGAAGGTATCCGCGATCCAAAACGCCCCCAGGCCGGTGAGTAAGAAGGAGCTCCAATCCTTTTTAGGACTCCTGAATTTTTATCATGCGTTTTTACCGCATAAGGCATCAGTGGCGGCCCCTTTGCACGCGCTTTTGCACAAGGAGGCAAAATGGAAGTGGGGGCAGGCCGAGGAAAAGGCTTTTGTGGGAGTCAAGGAGCTGCTGACATCTAATGCCGTACTCACGCATTATGATGAACACAAGCTCCTGGTGTTAGCTGCTGACGCTTCACCTTTTGGAGTAGGCGCAGTTTTAAGCCATCTGATGCCTGATGGGAGCGAAGCGCCTATCGCTTTTTATTCTAGATCACTATCTGCGGCAGAGCGGAACTATGCCCAGATAGACAAGGAGGGTCTGGCGTTGGTAGCGGCTGTCAAAAAGTTCCATGATTTTATTTTTGGCAGACGATTTTTGCTGGTCACTGACCACAAGCCGCTACTGGGGATTTTTGCGCCCGATAAGCAATTGCCTAATATCATGTCCCCACGCATGCTTAGATGGGCGATCTTTTTGCAGGCTTACGATTTTGACTTGGAGCACCGGCCTGGGAAAGCGATTGGGCATGCGGATGCCCTCAGCCGGTGCCCGGTGCCTGACATTGGCGCAGACCCTGCCCCCGCCTGTGAGGTCTTGGCAATTGAGGAGCTTCCTCGACCCCCGGTATCATCCAGGGATATCGCGAACCATACTGCTAAGGACAGCGTGTTGTCAAGAGTGCTGAACTGGGTTTGGAGGGGGTGGCCGGTAGGGGGCCTAGAGCCAGAATTCAGGCCATACAAAGCCCGCCAAAAGGAGCTTTCAATCTCGAAAGGGTGCATTCTCTGGGGGAACAGAGTGATAATTCCCGACAAACTTAGAAAGACTGTGTTGGATTCCCTGCATGAAGGTCACCCTGGCATGGTGCACATGAAGGCACTAGCCAGGGGGTATGTGTGGTGGCCGGGGCTGGATGCAGAGATTGAAGAGTGGGTTCACGTGTGCTCAAAATGTCAGCAAAATAGACCTGACCCCCCTCAGGCGCCACCGCAGCATTGGGAACCCACAGGTAGACCCTGGTCAAGGGTCCACATTGATTTTGCTGGCCCCATACAAGGGCAAATGTTCCTAATTGTTGTCGATTCAATGTCAAAATGGTTGGAGGTGGTTCTGATGCACGCAACCACTTCCCTGGCGGTAATTCATGCCCTACGCCGGCTGTTCGCATCACACGGACTGCCGGACACACTGGTCAGTGATAACGGGCCACAATTCACTTCCCAGGAGTTTGGTAAATTCCTAGCAGACAATGGCATTCGCCATGTAACGTCAGCACCATTCCACCCCGCATCTAATGGGCAAGCAGAGAGGATGGTCCGCACGGCTAAAGAGGCCCTGAGCAAACTTAATGAGGGGGACTGGAATGTCAGGCTGGCTGATTTTCTATTGAGACAGCACACTACGCCATCTAGTGTCACGGGCAAAAGTCCTGCGGAATTGCTAATGGGGAGGCGCCTAACGACCAGGTTAAACAGACTGCACCCAGATCTGAACGATCGTGAGCCTGACCAAAGAAATGGGCAAGCGTGTGTGCGCATATTCCAGGCGGGAGACAAAGTGTTTGCACGGAACTATGCATCTGGGCACTTGTGGGTTCCCGGGGTGGTGTCAGATAGTATTGGCACTCGCATGTATGTGGTACAGCTGGCCGATGGTCGAAAGTGGCGGCGCCACATAGACCAGCTTAAGAGACGTTGGGCGAAGGACAGCGCCGACTCTCCAACGGCCGAGTCCTCAGACTTTGATTTCAGACCTCCCGACATGGAGGTGAGTACGGGCCTACCTAGTACTGTCCCGATGACAGGGCATACCCCTGGCCTCGGAACCACTAACCCAGACGTAAGTGAGCCTGATACAGGTTGTGCAGAACCTAGGGCTGACACCCAGCAGAACTTACCCTCTGAGCCTGCACAGCCCCGCAGGTCTCAGCGTGAGCGGCGAGCGCCATCGTACCTGGCTGATTATGACTGCAATAAAGTATTTGGTTTTGACTAATGTATGTATTATCGATCAACTGTAAATATTTTAAACGATGGTGTTGTCTTAACTTAGGGGGGAGGAATTGTAATGTATCGGAATCCTCACTTGAATCGGCCCATTTACATTCAATGTTAAGCTTCAAGCCAGACCAGGGCTCCTCTGAGCGAACTTCCTATTGGTCGCTTCGTAACAGCGACCAATCAGAACGATACCATTCCCTAGGAGGGAAAGACTCCCATTGGTCTTTATTCTAGCAATCTCATTGGTTGTTATTTGTAAATAGGCGTGGCTACATTAGCCCGGTTATGTTTAAAAGGAGCATAAGCTCCCACTGTTTTCTGTTCTGGTTTCTTACTGAGTTGAGTGCTTGTTCGTTACTTCCAATAAAGCTGAATCACTTGCTGAATCACTCTAAGAGTCCTTTGTTAGTACGATCTAACACCACCCTCAAAAGCAGCCATTTTCTCCAGGGGGACTGATCACTGCAGTCCTGAGATCAGTTGTAATTCTGGGAAATCTCTGGGGCCCAATTGGATAGGGTTGCCAGCTCTGGGTTGGGAAATACCTGGGGTTTTGTGGATGGAGCCTGAGGAGAGCAGGGTTTGGAGGGCAGGGGACAATCCCATGGAGTCCACCTTGCAAAGTACCCATTTTCTCCAGGTGAACTGATCTCTATTGCCTGGAGACGAGTTTTAATAGCGGGAGATCTCTCCCTACCACCTGGAGTTTGACAAACCTACTCTTATAGCATGTCTGCCTTGCACTTCTTCCAAAGAAATCAGGTTGGCTGACACAATATTTCCCAAAAATAAACATTAATCTTCTGGCAATTTTTAAAAAATTAATCCAGCAATGTGTCAAAAGAAGAGTTTGATACAAGTCGCTCGCAGGTTCATCAGCCAGTTTCCCCTCCCGGGCCTTCCTTTGTCTACCTCTCAGTCTTCAGTTTTGACTCCTTCCTTTCTCCTGGCAGCCTCTACCTGGGAAAACTATGGTCCAGTTGTTTGGTGCCAGCTGGGCCAAGTTACACCGTAGGGAACCAGGAAGGACTTGCAAGAGGCACTCCATGCTAGTCCCACTTTCCCTCCTTCTGGCAACCTTTCCCTGCTTCCTTCTGTCCTTCCCACCTACCAACCAACCTATCTTTTATCTTTAAACCATTTTCAACAATATGCATTATTTATTTATTTGTTTGTTTGTTTCATTTATACCTTATCGTTCTCCAACATGGGACCCAAACAAACTTACATCAGTCTCCGCTCCTCCATTTTATCCTCACAACCCTGTGAGGTAGGTTAGACTGAGGACATGTAACTTGCCAAGGTTATCCAGTGAGTTTCCATGCCAGAGTGGTGATTTGAACACTGTTATCCCAGAACATAATTTGAAGTTCCAGCTAGTACATCACACTGCTGTTGTTTTTTTGTGGGCTGGCTGCTGTTGTAAAGTAGCAAGCAGCCTGTCACAAGTGAGTCATGCAAGTTGCATTGTATCAGGTCACCTGGTGGTTGCTGCCAACCCTGATGCGTCCTCCCTGAAAGGTCCTCCCTGAAAGGTCAAAACGGCTCTGAACCTCCCCTCATTTATACTGGCCACTGAGAGGACATTAGTTTTTTGGGGGGGATTGGCCCCCCGAAGGGGAATTTTTTATTTTTTGCATTTTCTACACACTACAATTATGGGATGGGGGAAGGGATACTAATACCCTAACACTAGTACTATGGGTAGTGGGTAAAGGAGCTCTAATACATATATCTACTTGATAGGGAAAGGAAAACTACCAATCTAATCTATTTCATCTACTGGATTTGGGGAAAGGAAGTCTAATACATGTCACGATCTGAATAGCTGAAAAAAATAATGCTTTTAAACATAATATTACAAGTTATACAAAGTTTTGGTTTAGTTATGATATTACACATTTAATAGCTTAACACAATTACTGCTTTTAGTGCTATTGTCTTAGTTCTAGAGTCTTTTCTTTTTGCATTTCTTCGTTTTCTGGAGTTTGGAAGCAGACTCTCCTTTCTCCTAATCCGATGTTTCTGATGACGTGGAATTTTGGCTTGTTGAATCCTGTGAGTAGGATTCATCTTCTTCTTCCTCCTCCTCCCCATCTGATTTTAAATTCTTTTCCTTCTGCTTCTTTTTTATATTAAACATTTGATCCATAAATTTTTCCGCTTTTGGAACAGAGTCTATTTTATATTTTTTTGTCCTGGTAGTTGAAGCTCAGCCCTTCCTTGAATAACCATCTGTATGATATTCTCTTTTTTTACAGAGTGAGAGTGAGCATCCTGTAGAATTTCCTCCATTTTCTATCTTCAAAGGGGATATCTTTCAAAAATTTTACATCTTCATTCTTGATTTTTAAGGTTTTCCCATTGTTGACTTTAGCACCAGTTCTCTGGTAGATCGTTTCGTGAATTTTAGGTAGATTTCCCCTGGGAGTTTGTTTTTCTTTATAAAGTCTGGATAAATCCTATAAGCCACATCCATCTCTTTTGTTAAATCTTCTTGTTTATAATCCATTAATGGGGCCAAGGCCAGGACATTGGTTTTTTAAAGGTACAGGTGCTGCTACTATTACTCTGAGTGCTTTTGAACTCCCAATGTAGTTTTTATTTCAGATTTTCCGTGCAACTTGGGTCTTTTAATGTTGCCAACCTCCAGGTGGGGCCTGGAGATCTTCCAGAATTATAACTGATCTCCAGACAACAGAAATAAATCCCCCTGGAGAAAATTGTGCCTTTGGCATTATATTCCACTGAGGTGCCTTCCCTTGCCACACCCTCACCAGCCCCTACTTCCAAATCTCCACAAATTTCCCAACCAAGACCTGGCGGCAACCCTAGGCTTTTTCAGGTGTGTTGAAAGATCTGTTTTGTATGACCTTCCCTGCACTGTAGGGCTCAGCATGGGTTACAGCAATAGATATAAACAATAAATTTAAAATAATTAATCTATACAATACTAAAAACCTATAATATCACAAAATACAAGATGGCAGTCAGACACAAGTTAATAAGTGTTCCTGAAGAACCTTCAGTATATATGCCCATAGCCATAGATGAAACCAAATACTGTGCAAATGGCAGAAAAGCAGCAACAATAACACAAGGCCAAGTAGGGGAAGCTAGGCCAGTATAGTTCGATCTCTGCTGCCTCAACTATAGTCCTGGCAGAACATCTCCATTTTATAGGCCCTGTGGAATTGCAACAAGTCTACAGGGCCCTGATCTCACTTGGGAGAATGTTCCACCAGGCTTTGGTTGTGACTAAGCGGATTTCCTTTGGGCCAGGGACCACCAGTAGATGTTGTCCATTTCTTGCAGCACTGATTTTGATTTTGAAAAAAAGAAAGACTTTTACTTTGTGATGTGGCAGTTTCTGTTTGAGGACTCTGAGATTATTTTCAGGTATATTTATGATTAAAGAAGTCCTCCTGAAGCTACTAGGGGTGTGAGCATGGGAGGGTAATTAAAGATCTAAGGGGACAGGGATGGCCAGCTCCTTCAGCCTAGGGGTTAAATTCTCCTTAGCTCAGCTGCTGAGAGGCAGCACTCTCCTTAGCTATGAAAACTGCTTACTCCCCTTTGCGATGTAGTTTGGGAGTATCTGGCCACACCTTGAAAAGTTGTGGCCACACCTGGAGAGGTTGACTGGCAAGGGCCCTGCACTCTTTTTGTGCCTTCTTCATGTTGCACTGGTACAGTCTCTAGACCAATGACGCTGGTTTCAGAGGGCAGCCATGTTGGTTGCCAGTTAGATGTGAGCTCGGTAGCACCTTAGAGACCAACCACATTTTTTGGGTATTAGCTTTTGAGCATCAAAGATCCCTTAGACTCTTTGGGTCCTTTGGTTTCTAGACCAAATCATACATGGCAATGGCAGTCCCATGCCTTTCAATATAGGTCTACCCCAATAATGTGTAAATACAAGTGGGTAGTTGTATGGTTTGAACACAACAGGGGCTGGCAGGTGAATCCTTTCTTCTATCTGCAAAAGAGTTGTTCCTCTCCTCCCCTTTTATCCTGCTGTCTTTGCCTGAGAGGTGCCCCCTCTCTCCTGCTGTATTGGGGTAGCATGCTAACACTCGAGCTATGCCCTTCCTCTTTCTATTCACAGCTTGAGTCATGGAGAGGGCTGGTAAGTGTTTGGATATGTGTGCGTTCTGTCTCCCACACCCTCCTCTTCTTCTAGGATTGCCAGTCCCCAGGTCCCAGCAGGGATTCCCCTGCTTTTTGGGGCTTCTGCCCACTGCCAGCAAGCTGGCCAGTGGGGAAAACCCTGCCCCCAATGCAATGATGTCACCTGGAAGTGATGTCATCACATTGGGGACATTGCATGTGAAACTCTGGTTTGAGGTCAAAACTATGGTAAATTTGGACCCAAACCACAGAGGTTTGCTCTTAAACCAGACCGTCTCCTCCATTTTTATCCTCACAAGAACCCAAGGTCAAGACAGGCCCCAAAGAACACCACCAGTGGTCACATACAGTTCTCAACTCAAAACAGTTCAATGCATCATCAGCAACTTACAGCTTCTACTTACAACCTCTACTGGATAAGGACAGTCACCATGTGACCTCACCGATGCAATGGAATCACTGGGTGATGTCATTGCATTGGCAACATTCCGAAACACCCCCCAAATCCCACCGCTGACAGGGTGAAGGGACCTGGCAACCCTATCCCCTCTGGCCGACTAACTGTCTGTAGCTCAGTCAGGAGTTTCTGGTTTATGGGTAGAAAGAGCAGTCCAAGGCACAGGTGAGGTTTTTGACCACAGTCTGAGATCTTTAAAAAGGGAAAGATCTTTATTCACTAAAATACACTCTCTAGAGCACAAAGCATTGAGAAACCATATTAAAACACTACAAAGTATTATAGAGGTAATAAAAGAAAAGAAAACCTATGAGGTTAACTTGTACAGTCAGTGGTATTACCTTGGCATTCCCTTCCTCA